TTACGCAACAGTCGAAATATGAGGATTTTTGAAAAAATTTGAACGAATATTGAAAAAAATATATATACTTACCTTACTTCAGGTTTGTGTTTCTCTGTTTCTCGTAACTTGTCCAGATCGATTTGTGACCTTGTTATTTTCGATATATTTCACTGCCTTTTCCTTATTAATTATAAAGAAAAGAACCGTTTTCTCCATACTTGCTTATATTTCGACTGTTGCGTAACCTCAGAACTACTATATGATGCATAGGACGCTCACTTTTCCGAGCCTAGGATACCTGTGTGCGTGTTCTCAGAGAGCGCTCGGGATTCGCACTCCGCAATTCCCGTTGCTTATTTCTTTTACGAAGTTAGCGATTGTAATCACTCTTATTTTAATTTCCTGAGACCTGACGGATTTTGTGAACGAAGAGGATATTAAACTAGTACAATTAGACAGATGCCTTTATTTGAATTCGTGATTTCCATTGGCCATTACGGCGCATTCATTGCTATTTTTACCATTTGTCGCTTTTTTCTGCTCGCAAAGCGTGATTCGACCTAAAAAGTTGGGCTTTAATTCCATGCAACAAGTCATATCCAGACTGCTGCTGCCAAAAATGCGAGTGAATCACACAATTTTAGCACAGGTACATATTTCATGCATTGGGGCTGGCTTCATTAATCGTGGTAAATTCAATGATAAAATGCTACAATTTGTTCGTCATTACGTACAAAACAATATTTTGTTTTTTTAATTGAGCCGGCTAATGGTTGCCAGAAACGCCATCACGAAAATTGATGCATTCTTATTTGTCTATTTACTTTGTCAATTTTCCCATTCATCGTTTTCAGATTGGTAGATGCGATCAAGTACACTTTCACGAAGGAAGTCGAACTTTCACACCTCTTAGAAAACAATCAAAGCAATTTTCGCCCGCCATGAGAGCCATTTGACTTCGTCGTATATCGGTGGGTAAATCTTTTGCATTGCTTTTGTATATCTCAATTAATCATACCGTACATGCAGAGGAAAGGTTACGAGAGGCGAGCTCTCGTCAATCGATGACGTGCATATGTAAAGCAATTATTTATTTTCGATCGGACGGTGGCTGCACGCACGCTTTAACCAAATTCAGCAAATGTTCGTCGGTTCAAGCTGGCGTAAAACGCTGATCTTCCAGCTTAATTTTCATTATTATTTACGTATGGGAGGGGAAAACGACCTAGGCTGTAAATTTTAAAAAAGTATGGCTTGGTAAAACGGCCCAAAAGTATTACAGTTTGCAATCTAAGACTAACCCGTGAACGAGAAACAAAAATGATACAGATTTTCAGTTTGATTTGCTTATGATTCTTTCCTGGGAGCAAAAATACATGATGTGAACAGAATAGACAAAGAAGGAGATTAAGAGATAGTAAGTTACATAGCCAAACATAAATTATACAACCCTATTCAAGCTAGATTAATTTTCTCTAATCCCTTCCTAGAAAATTGTTTCCTTAAAAGCCTGTTTGTTTTTACTCTTGGTTTGTCTATTCATACATTTATTTGCTTTTATTTTTATGTTTTTTTCCTTGCCCTCTATACTGTTCGGTTGTGACCTGATCAAAAAATCGTGTCAGTTGAGAGCAAATATTTACATTGTGTTTTTCACCTTTTTATGCCGATTGCCGTGTGTGTGTTAATCGGAGTTAAATCAGTAGCTTTTACCGATTAAA